GCAGCTCATGGGGCCCGCCCTGTGATTCCAACGGTGCTAAAGGCATAGAACAACCGGTGCAAATGAAGAGTGGGAAAGCTTACTCTGCCTCCAGATGAACATTTCCCGGGACAAATGTAGTTGTACTTGATCTGGCCTCTAAAGACATCTTAGGAGAAATGTCAGCCAGAAACAGTTTAAAGTCAAGTAGCCAATCAATTGACCAAAAATGGAGCTGAGAACTCATCCTTGGCTACTGTCTCTAGGGGAGTGTGGTATAGGAAGGCTAGAGAAAAGTTCAGAAAAACAAAGCGTAACAGAGGGCAGCAGTGTAGTGACACCAGCAAGAGAGCGACCCCAGTGAGAACACACAATCCTCCCCGTGCCATCTCTCACAGGTACCAAGAACCACGGGCTTCTGCTTTACTAGGAGAAGCAAACCTTCAAAGCCACACTGACAAAAGTCACGGTATGCTAAAACCCCACAAAGATTTCCATGAAGGTTAGTGGTAAGATGTAAAATGTTTCATTAGGAGCTACAGAGATATGGGAGTTTGGTTTACTTTTGCTGTCCTTATTTTCATCTATCCACTCCTCCAGACCTCATTCAGCCCTACATTTCTAATTAACTCTGAGGTATCAATAGCCATTAAAAACTAAATATATCCAATCTGGTCCCTTAGGCCATTTCTCAAAGAGTCTATTTTAGACAGTGCTCCTATAATTTCCCAAGGTATTCAACCAACATAGCTGTCTCTCCCTTTACATCTGTCTCCTGCTCTCTCACATCCTCTACCCTGTAACACTGTGTTTATCAAATCCACTTATTTAACTTCATAAAGACTACAAGTTTTTTTTTTCTTTTTTCTTTTCTATTGCTACCACCTTTATTCTTAATTCTATGTTGGATTTTTCCCTTTCTTCATAACTAGAGCTTAATGCTCTTGAGAATAGGAATGCTGTTTCTCTTTAGGCTCCAGCACAAGGCCTAGCAGACTAAGTCAGCAGAAATTACTCCCCGGTGAGTGTAATTAAGAAGCACACCAATTCATTTGAAGTATCCCAGCGCTCATGATTGGAGTATGCCACCAAACACTGGATCTTTTCCAGAGGAAAAATGTAGCATGTGACAGATTTGTCAAATAATAACATATCTACAAATACACAGCATATTTCAGGATCTTAGTGATTTTCTAATAATTGGTTTTTAATGGTTTTACATTAGAAGCTCTTGCTTGGCCTTTGCTTGAAGTCACATTTATCAAATCTGATAATTACTGTTTTAATGCTATACTTTGCTCCAGTGACCTCAGCATTAGTGTTGATGTGTTTTGGGATATTGGGGATGAATAAGTATCTATACATCTGGAATTCTATGGATTGCCACTATACACAAAATTATTTCAATAATTACAAGCATTACCTAAAACCTTACACTTTATTTAAGAAATAAAAAACAGTGCAGTTAAAAATATGTTTCCATCAGTCTCTGCAGGATCACCTGGGCTCAGATTTTTTAGTTTTGTTGGTCTCCTTGTGGGGCTCCTGTCCTCTCCATGTCATTCTATCTTCACCCTTTTCTTCTTCCATAAAACTTCTTGTGCTCTGCCAAAGGTTGGCTGTGAATCTCAGTGCCTGCTCAATCCCATGTTGGGTGGATCCTTTCAGAGGACCCTTTATTATAGGCTCCAACTAAGGACCACACATGGAGAGGACATAGCACCTCTGCTCAGATGTAGCTGATCGGCAGCTCAGTCTCCATGTGGATCTCCGAGTAAGGGGAACAGGGGCTTGCCTCTATCATGAACTCAGTTGCCTACTCTTTAATCACTTGCCCCTGGTGATGCAGCCTTACAGGGCCACAGAGGAAGAGGATCCAGGCAGTTCTAATGAGTTGATAAGGTATGGGCAGATGGCAAAGGAGGAGAACTCATCGTTTCAGTGGACTAGGAGAAAAGGATGGGGGAAGAGAGAGAGAGGGTTGGACTGGGAGGAGTTGAGAGAGGGGGTTTTAATCAGGATATATAATGAATAAATTCTGAAAAAAAAGTTAAAATTGAAAAAAAAACCACTATGTTTCATCAGGACTGCCTGGATCATAGTAGAGAACTTCCCCTTTGAGTGGATTAAGGGAATGGGTTAGGAGGAAGGAGGAGGGAGGTTGGGACTGGGAGGAGTTGAAGGAGGGGGCTTCAACCAGGATATATAATGAATAAATTGTGAAGAAAAAATAAGAATTAAAAACTATTTTATGGAAAAAGCAATAAATCAAATTCCATTACAAAAAAAAAAAAAGTTTCCAACATCTTGTGATGTATGAAAACTGACATTCTGGTTGATGTTGTCTGTGTCTAAAAGATGTGCTACCTAATGAAATCACACATACACAGCCAAACACGAATGGGGTTTAACACAGCCCTCAACACATCCTTTACAGATTTTTATGGACTAAACCTTGTACATTCATGCTGCTGAAGCCTCATTTCCATGGTGCTGCATATCAGGAACTACAAACTCAGGCTCTAAGGGAGCCTGAGAGTGTTCTTCAAAAATTGTCAAGTTCAAATCAAAAAGGACAGTTTTCCTTTACTGTCCTTCACTGAAGTGGAATTCTGAAATACACAAATAGAAAAGGGATTCTTGGCCAGAAGCCTCATGTGAGAGACATCTTCCAGAAGCACATGGCCTGGGAAGCTTCAGAGTCTTGGCAGACTGCAAACCTTTACTACTTTCTATTAATAATCAAGGTCCAAGTGCCTGTAAGGAGCCAGGACCTACTTGTGAGATGAGGACTTAGCTCAGAAGCTGAACATTTTCCAGCAAACATTCTCATAATAGCAGGTACCTTCTCCAGACACCAGATTTCTCTGGTTAGCACAAAGTCATTGTCTAAAGAGACACTGAAGAACCCTCTAGAAAACGAAACTGATGTGTTCCTTCAGTAACACGTGAAAAACACATTTAATGTCAGTTTTGTTCTATAGACTTCTGGGTGTCTATGATGATGGAAGACTTGACAGCACCCCTATGGCTTCCTAAGCAAAGTTACAAAGGGGTACACAGTTCAACGTGTTGCTCGTAAAATGTGTAGAAGCTTTAGGGCTATGATTACAGGCACAAACGTAAAGCCCAAAGGTGACTAAAGGTAGCAGCTTGGGTTTTCAGCATTTTTTAGCAGCTCTTGTACTGAAGCCTTTGTCCGAGGGTGTCAGTGTTCAAAGGTAGAGCTTTCAGGAAGTGACGGAGGCTTACTCCACATGAATGCATTATTTTAGTAGTGGGTGCCTGGATTCATGGCCTACAGGAAAATGGCAGAAATCCTTGCAGGTAGGGCCCAGTTGGAGAAAATATATTATAGAAGCCATGCCACTGAAGGCTTCTTTCTCTTTGCTTCTTGGCCCTTGCGTGGCGGTCATATCTTCTCCACCATGCTGTCTGTCTGTGTGATGACAAAGCTGAACAAACACTGGCTATAGTCTCGAAACGGTGAGGATCTACCTTTGCTCCCTAAGCTGGTTACTCTTCAAGGCTCTGTCACTGTGATGTCACTCTAACACCGAGACGGCAGAACCTCAGCTTACAGCCACTAAGCCAGACTGCAACTTTCTCCATCTGGGTGACTGAATCTCCTTAGTGGTGGAACACTGGGATTTGACAGTGTTTTTAGGTGTTACTATAACTTTATGCCTCAATCTAGGTTTGCTCATGCTTCCAAGGGTCAATATAAACTTGATCCTGTCAGTGAAGTTTAACATGGAAATGAGGTAGCAAACAACAAAGCTTGCTAGGCACTAAGCAGGCAAGTATGATTCTTTTAGAGGTGTTTTTGTTTGTTTGTTTGTTTGTTTGTTTGTTTGTTTGTTTATAGTTTATCAATGTTTAGTTTAGGGAAGAGGAAGGAGTGAATGAGAATGAGATTTGAGAATGAATCATGAGACACACGGCATCCCAGAACTGGAAAAGATGCTCAGCCACAGTTTTTAACCTACTAACTATGACTATCTTAATAAAAAATAGTCTTTCAGAGAAGCAAAGACAATATAGTATTTATATAGCAGCAAAGGCAATATAGTGTTTATATAGTAGCCATAGCACATCTTGGCTATGTGATTCCTCAGTGGTCATCATTTTCAAACACAGAAAACTGTTGCGTTATCAAACAGGGCAGAAGTTGCTACAAGTAAAATAGACAAATTTGGTATGATTCCACTTTGAAAGACAGATTTTGACCCTAGGGAGGCAGAGGCAGGTGATCTCTGTGAGGTCAAGGCCACCCAGGTCTACAAAGTGAGTTCCAGGACAGCCAAAGTTACACAGAGAAACCCTGTCTCAGAAAAAAAAATAAAATAAAAGAAAGAAAGAGAGATAGATTTTGGAACCATGGTAGTATCTGCAATGTCTCTGGAATTAGTCCACCATTAGCTTTGATACAAAGAAGTAAAGGGGTCAATGTTAGGAAGCAGGATCAGCCAGGCCATTCCAAGATGTGGAGAGCAGTGCCAACACAAAAGATCCAGACAGAAAAAAACATTCCTTGTCTGTTCCCATCTATAGTTGCTCCATTTCTACGGTAGAAAACTCTCAGAGAGAAAGCAAACACACTGCATTGTACTTACACTTTCTTTTCATAGCAATAACGTGTCATCACACTTATGGAGTTGATAAATATGTTATAACTCTCTTACAGTAAGAGTGCGCTTCTTTCTAGCAATCATTTCTGCTTCTTGTATGAACCTACAAGAAGCCTTGATAGTGTGTTAACAGACAACATGAAAATCAGATGGTGGTATTCACTGTTTCAGGCAGATTCAGGAGCCCACAATGAGCACGGAGGTTAAAAAGACAAACAGTCCAACAAATTACAGCGTGATAGCTTAAAATGTTGAAATGAAATAAAAGAACGAAGGAAAACCACACACACACACACACACACACACACACACGCACGCACACAGTGTTTACAGATCTAAAGAAACTTCCTAATATCCAAAATAAACCAAAGACAATACTTTCGCACCCACCTGCTTCTCTCCACTTGGCTTTTTGTGGTTGAGCAATAGCTCCACAGCTCCAACCACCTCTTTCCGGATAGCATGAAGCAGTGCATCGCCAACATAGACGTTGAAACTCAACAGGAGTTCAATGAGCTCCAGGTTCTCGTTTTCAATGGCGATGAGAAGGGCAGTCCTCCCAAGGGGATCAATGCAGTTAATGTTGATTTTAAAGTAAATCTCAGCTTCCTCCAGAGACTTCTTGACACTTGCATAGTCCCCCTTCTCCACAGCGTTCAAGTAGGCTTTCTCTGATGGGGAGAGTTCAGACTCTGCTCTGACAATCCTCAGAGGAATGCGGTCTCGGTAGGGGGCGCTGACACTTCTTTTGTAATAGAACTGAGCCATGCTTCAGGCCATGCTACTCCATCATGTCTAGAAGCACACACAGAAAGCAGAGTGTGAGCGTCGGCCATAGGCATCACACATGCTATCAGAGGCACAGTCACGGCGGACCACAATAGTGTCTCTGTTGATGAGAAAAAGAGGTTTTCTCCTTAGGTAATGAAAACAGGTATTCATTCACTCAGCTGCCTGGAAAACAGGACTTAAAATTTCTTTTTAAAATATCTAATTATATGCATGTACGTGTGCAGCTATGAGAGTTTATGTGCATCACGCAGGTACTCAGAGAGGTCAGAAGAGGGCATTGGGTTCTTGGGAACTGGAGTTACAAACCTTCCTGAGCTACCAAGTGGGGGCGGGGTCCTCTGCAAGAGCAGTCAGGGCTCTTAACCAACGAGCCCTCTGGCTCTCCAGGCCCAACAATATCTACTCAAACAGCAGAAAATTATCTTAAAAATTTAACGTAACAGCAGAGACTTCAGCTGTGTATTTTGAGAAATTATTTGCGAATACATATCTTTACACACACACGTATTTGTATATATATATGTACATAAACACACATGTATGTACATGCCTGTTCACACACATGTGCGAAGCACTTTAAAAATTAGAAGCCATGCCTTTAGGGTCCCATCAGGAATGTTCCAATACACCGTTCACTGTCAGTTTTGCTGGTCATGAAAGCTGGTGCTGTAGTTAGAGAGTACTGACACGTTGGGAGAGAAATCTCACCTGTTATGTCGTCTGCTCCTAATGTTAACAAGTATTCTCATCAAAGCTAGTGTGAATTAATAGTACTACTGTCAGTAAAATGACATTGAGCCTAATGAATGTAATTTTATTTTATTTTTTTCTGTTCGTAAGTGAATTCAGTGAGGGAGAAGGAATGTATACTGATGACACTAATTATCAAGATGAGAATGTGCAACTCAACCTGGAAAAAAAAAAGATAAAACAAAGAACGAGCGCACAATGAGAATGTGCTTTTCAATTCTGCCGCCTCTGCAAGATGAACATCCGCGCAACGGAGGGAAGGGTTCAACTGAAAACTTATTTTTATTTGGAAGTCATGGGAAAGATACAGCTGAGGCTGATAAAATAAATTTAAAATAATCGTACATGGAAAAAAAAGAAGCCACTGAAAGCAGTACTACTTCAGCAAAAACCTAGTGTTGTAAAGTCTCAAAAAGAAATTACATTTTGCATATAAATTCTTTACTGAAGTTTTCTGCATTCATACCTGTTATTTCAAGCATTCTCTGAAAAACTTACTTTCTGTACATTGCACAAAATTATAATAAATGGGTCATTTAAGCCACTTGCATATTCCTATTAATTGGTATTTGTAGGCCCAATGAGTGTATGAGTAAATTAGCTTGATTTATATGGTGTTTTAACTTTAGAGTAAACAAACTTTGCACTAACAAATATGACTATATCTTTAAATTTTTATTTTTTTAAATTCTATGTGCATGTATGTGTCTGCACAAGACTACAGGTGCCCAAAGAGGTCAAAAAAGGGCATTAGATCCTTTGGAGCTAGAGTTATAGGTGTGTGTGTGTTACCTGACATGGGTTCTGGGAATTGAACTAAGGTAATCTAGAAGATCAAGGAGCAATCTTAACTGCTGAACCATCTTTCCAGCCCCAAATAGGATCACATTTAACAGTTTCAGCCCGAGAAAGTTGTTTACATATAGCTTCATTTTATTGGTGATGTCAATAATCATGTAATTAAATTTTAACCTTTGGCCTCCAGATTATTCATCATGAATTCTCCAATGTCTAGATAGATGAAATAATAATCAAGACCATTATTTCATAATCTGCAGCTGTGTAGTCTAATTGACATTTTCTTCAGGTATCTTCAATGACTAAGTAAGACATGAGTATGTCACATCTATTAATATTAGACACACAAATTAGTTAAGTCTGAGTATAATTTAATTATTCTGAGGATGTTTTGACTCAGTCTGGAATAAAAGAAGAATCACTTATATTACATAAAAGCAAGGAGGCTTCAATATTCTTCAAGTATAGTGAAAACACTGACAAATCCAAGTTTTTATGATGTTGTCTTTTAAGGATCTGATATTGAAGCTGATTCATGCTTTTATGTTACCTTTAAAATCTTTGTCTTGGATACAAAAATTGTGGTACATTTACACAATGGAATACTACTCAGCTATTAAAAACAAGGAAATCATGAAATTTGCAAGGAAATGGATGAAACTAGAAATGATCATCCTGATTGAGGTAACTCAGAAGCAGAAAGACGCTCATGGTACATACTCACTTGTAAGCAGATATTAGCCATATAATACAGGATAACCATACTACGATCCACAGACATAAAGAAGCTAAATAACAAGGAAGACTCCAAGGGAGATGCTAAATTCTCATTCAGAAGGGCAAATAGAATAAACACCAGCACCAGAAGCAGTTAAAGAAAGGGAGTGGGATGGGAGCCTACCATAAATGTCCTCTGTAAGACTCCACCCAGCAAGGGATCAAAGCAGATGCTAAGATTCACAGTCAAACTTTGGGCAGAGTGCAGGGAGTCATAGGAAAGAGTGGAGGAATAGAAGAACCCAGAGTGGACAGGAGCTCCATAAGAAGACCAACAGAACAAAGTAAATAAAGTGTAATTAAAAATTAAATTAAATTAAAATTAAAAAAAGAGGACCAACATAGCCAATAATCTGGGCTCATGTAGGCCTGCAGAGACTGATGAACCAACCAAGGACCATAGAAGAGGACCTAGACCCCTGCTCAGGTATAGCCCTTAGGCAGCTCAGTCTCCATGTGGAATCCCTGGTAAAGAGAGCAGGGGTTGTCTCTGACATGGACTCTGTTGCCTGCTCTTTGATCTGGATCTGGGATCTGGAGGAGATGAAGGAGGGGTCTACAATCGGGATGTGAAGTGAATAAATTATAAAAAATAAATTTAAATTAAAAAAAAAAAACTTTGTCTTTAAGGGAGAAGATGACTTATTTTTTGCAGGGCTTGAAGCTAGCATCCAAAGACCATGGCATCAGTGCCACGGACCTCACATGCTAATTCTGCATGGACCACAGCCTGTATGTCTCCTACTGGTAACATCCAGCATTTTTGTTTTAGTTTTTAAGTATATAAACTTCTGTTATCTCATTTTTCCTTATATAAAATACTTAGGAAAATACACACTTTCTATATGTTTTTGGCTTTAATGTTTCTTGTCAAATCATGTATTTTTGCTGAGATAATTAAGGTAAAATGAAGATACACATATATGAAAATTTTGTAGAAATAATTCATCGAGATTGGGAATTGGTCAAAATATTAGAAAAACAATTTCATTCCATTTTTTTCTTATTACTACTAACAATGCTATCAAATAAAGAATTAGGACCTACATTTACAAAATATAAATAAGATGTCAATGGAAAGAATAGTAGGAATTAGAAAACTGAGAGAAAAGAGGCAGAAGAAGAGAAATTGATTTTGATTAAAATTTGTTTCATTGTATCCAGTTAACTCCCACAAATATAACCCGAAAGATACTATATTGCAGAGATAATGTGGGTATAAGATACATAAGAAAATCTGTTTATCCACGGTAGGAGGAAATAACACAGAACTAAGAATGAGAAAGAAAAACAGCAGTCACACTGAGGACTTTGAAAGGACTTTTATCATTCAAGCTCTTGGATTAAAAAAAAAAGAGAGAGAGAGAGAACTTAAAAAAAAGAAAACAGCACATGAAGAGTTCTGGGCATGCTTGAAATACAACGAAAATTTATATAGACTCAATAAAGTTCAAATATTGAAGGTGGGATATTGGGATATTGAAACATACATGCAGAGGTTCAGCTGTTACTAAAACCTTCAAGAACAAGGAGACTGTGTAAGTTTGCAGCACAGAAACTTGGGCTCGTTGTTCCTAGGGATGCAGGGTGCCGATGCAGGAGCAGTGGTAGGAGCAGATAAGGCTGGAGGTGCTCCTGGGCAGACAGACTTATCAGCAAGTGCAGACCTGCCACTCAGCGATGGAACGTCGGTAAAAGAACAGGGCACTGAGAGCAGAAAGCACCTTAACCAAAAATGTCCAATAAAAGCCTGGTGCAGTCTCATGCCAGCAAGGTGAGTTTTCTGGAGCAAAAGAAAATTCTCCCCATCAAGATTACAGAAATTCGAGATTCTTTTTTTTTCTTACACGTCATTTTTAAAATGGAACAATTCTTCATCGCATCATCTTTCAAAGGATTTTAAATAGCAGATGGAGACCAATAAATAAAGACTTAAATCTGCAATATGGCTTTCGGCATAACCTAAAATTCATTTTTCTTAAGGAAAATGGTAGGAGATTTAAGGGGAAAATAGAAGGAGCTGTGATTTGACATCAACATGAAAAAGAAAATTCCAACCATAAGGAAGCAGCATAAATATGCACAAGGAAACAAATTCTTCATGTTCCCTGAAGGATCTGCTTCGTTCTGCGGTAAAATGAACAGTGAATGTGAGTTTCAAATAAAACTAAGAAAATGCATAGATAATCTTCATTTTCAGTAAATATTGCAAAGGGCAACATGAATATTCATCATTTAAATATATGTTTAAAATGTGATCCTAGTGCTTCAAGGAGAAAGCAAAACTTGAGTCCATGGGCATGGGGATGCTACTACACATACTTGGGAATTTGTATGGAATAGAAACAGCAATAAAACAAAAACACTTTACTAACTAAAATATTATGACATCCGAGGATTTTAAAGAGAGAAATAAAAATTACACTTATTTTTAAACTTGAAGACTCAGGATTTAATAGGGACAGAATCTGAAGCCAAAAATTGAACACAATTTTGTTCCAGGCATAGAGGAGCAGGGCCAGAAGTGATGGTTACTTAGCTGGCTTTTTACCTGGACAGACTTAGGGATGTATTTCAGAAATATATGCAACAGAGGCTAGAAACCCACCCTGAGAGCTAAAGCATACCATCAATTTCCCTTTCTCCTCAAG